TATGCATATAAGTTCTTTGGTTTATTTCTCCCCACCCCCCAACCCCCTTCCCTTTGAGGTTTGTCAGTCTAACAACCAATTTGTACTTCTTAATCCCTTCACCTTTTTCACCCATTCCCCCAACCCCCCTCCCATCTAGCAACCAACAAAATGTTCTCTGTATCTATGAGAATGTTTCTGTTCTACCTGTTCATTTTGTTTGTAGATTCAATTGTCGATAGATATGTATTCATTGCCATTTTGTTTGTTCACATATTTTATCTTTTTCTTCAAGAAGACCCTTCATCATTTCATATAATAACGGTTTGGTGGTGATGAACTCCTTTAACTTTTTCTTGTCTGGGAAACTCTTTATATGGCCATCGATTCTAAATGACAGCTTTGCAGGATAGAGTAATTTTGGTTATAGGTTCTTGCTTTTCATCACTCTGAATATTTCTTGCCACTCCCTTCTGGCCTGCAAAGTTTCTTTTGAGAAATCAGCTGACAATCTTATGGGAACTCCCTTGTAGGTAACTAACCACTTTTCTCTTGCTGTTTTTGATTCTCTCTTTGTCTTCAACCTTTTGCATTTTGATGATGATGTGTCTTGGTGTGGGCCTCTTGGGGTTCATCTTGTTTGGGACCTTTTGTGCTTCCTGGACTTGTATGTCTTCACCAAGTTAGGGAAGTTTCCTTCACCAAGTTAGGGAAGTTTTCTGCCATTATTGTTTCAAATAAGTTTTTTGATTTCTTGTTCTCTCTCTTCTTCTGGCACCCCCAAGATGCAAATGTTGGCATACTTGAAGTTGTCCCAGAGGCTCCTTACATTATCCTCATTTTTTTGGATTCTTTTTTCTTTTTGCTGTTCGATTGGGTGTTTTTGCTTCCTTATATTCCAAATCGATGGTTTGCTTCTTGGCTTTACCTACTCTACTATTGAATCTGTGTAAATTATTCTTTAGTTCAGTTAATGCCTCCTTCATTTCTGACTGGTCCTTTTTTATGCTCTTGAGGCCCTCAACTAAGTTCACTGAGGTTCTCACTAAGTTCATTGAGCATCCTTATAAGCAGTATTTTGAACTCAGCATCTGTTAAGTTGCTTATCTCCATTTCGCTTAGTTCTTTTCTGGGGGTTTTGTTCTGTTCTTTTATTTGGGACCTGTTTCTTTGTCTCCTCATTTTGGCTGCCTTCCTGTGTTTGTTTCTGTGTATTACTGAATGAGAGGTATGGGGCTATCTGAGACCAGATGCTGCTTGTTTGAAAGAATTTAGGAAAACCTGAAGCAGGATCCAAGACAGGCCAATTCTATGGTTAAACAACTGGCAACAGCTTGGGTGGGCCTGAAAGTTGGGTGGGGCGGGGCCTCAGGGAATCACCAGGGCGGGGAAACCAGTGTGAGCCAGGTTGCTGGAGTCCCTGATATGACAACTGTCTGCCGCCCCAGGGAAGGGCTCACCAAAGGAACAAAGGCCTCTGACAGCACCTTTGTCCCGAAGAAAGCCCCCTCTCCAACCCTCATTCCAATGCCAAACAGCTCAGTTCTTCCCTGTATGTCTCTGGCGCCCCTGGAGTTGCCTCCCCTCCAAGCTTAGAGGGAGAGAGTCTGATAAGTCCATGTGTGAGCCCTTTAAGGAGCTGCCTGGGGTTCCAGCCGCCTCAGCCTCCCCGAGCCTCAGTTCCGCTGGTTTTTCCAGCCAGAAGTCATGGGGATTCTCTTCCTGGCACTGGAACCCTGAGTGGGGCACCTAGTGTGGGACAGGGACCCCTCAGTCCTCAGGGAGGACCTTCCCGGCTGAGGTGTCCTCCTGATTTTTATCTGCCACACGTGGGTGTGGGACCAGCCCGTCCGCCTCCGCCCCTCCTACCAGTCTCAATGCAGCTGCTGCTTTAATTCCGTAGTTGTAGGACTTCTATTCAGCTGGATTTCAGGCGGTTTTGAATGATGGTTGTTCTGTAGTTTAGTTGTAACTTTGATGTGGTTGTGGGAGGACGCGATACCGCGTTTACCTATGCCGCCATCTTGACCGGAAGTCTTTTTTTGCTTTACTGATTTTAGAGAGAGGAAGGGAGAGGGAGAGAGAGATAGAAACATCAATGAGAGAGAACATCAACTGGCTGCCTCCTACATGCCCTGCCTGATGTTCAGGGCCACAACCTGGGCATGTGTCCTGACCGGGAATCAAACCAGCGACCTCTTGGGGCATGGGTTGACGCTCAACCCCTGAGCCACACTGGCCAGGCTGTATGACAACATTTTATATATGACTTTTGCCTACCTGTTCTTAGCAATTGACTAATATTTTTTGGGGGTTTTGTCAAATGTGTTATATAAAATTAACGCTATAATCAATACCAGGGAGATTGTGCTGTAATGGCTATATTATCAAAAAGTCCTGAAAATTTTCCTGCCCTCTGACCTTCCTCACTCTTGGGAGGCTTAATAATTCAAAAAACTAATTTGCATGATGATTAAGAATCTAGATTTTGATAAGGAACACTAGACTTCAAAGTCAGATATCACTGCCTACAAAGCATTATTCATATGATTCTAAGCATGTTCACCAGCCTTAGTTTCCTCTTTGGTAAAGTGAAGATAATAGTATTTATTGTGAGGAGGTAGTGAGATAATGTATGTAAACTTTTTGGTACAGTGCCCAGCTCAATAGTGTAGCTATTTCAGCCCATAAAGAACAACACAATGCCGCAGACCGACGCTCCAACCGCTGAGCCAAACCAGCCAGGGCCTATGCTCATTCTTTCTTTTTTATCCTCACCTGAGGACACTTTTTGCATTTATCTTCAGATAGAGCAGGAGGGAGAGAGGGAGGAAGAGAGAGAGACAAACATCGATGTGAGAGAGACACATTGATTGGTCGCTACCCACACAACCACAACAGGTGCTGGGAACGAACTGCAACTGTGTGGTATGTGCCCTTAGTGGGAATCGAACCTGGGACTCTGGTCCACGGGCTGAGGCTCTAACCACTGAGCCAAACCAAGGCCTTATGCTCATTTTTTTTTTTTTTTTTGGAGGTGGAGTTTTTTATTAGGTTAAAGGTATAAAAGTCTTTTGATCAATTTTCCCTTGAATTATTTTCCTGAAAATTATACTAACATACATAGCAGTGTATGCCTGTGTTCATTTTCCTAAATCCATAAATTGATGGAAATGCATGCCTTCATCATTCACATATGCATTTCGTTGATTAGCAAGTATGCTGAATAATTTTTTCTATGCATATTGACAATATGTAGCTTTTATTTTTGTTTTATTTATTTATTTATTTTTAAAATTTATTAATTTATTTTTGTTACAGATGTGTCTCCTTTTTCCCCCACTGATACCCCCTACCCCTGCCTCCCCACCCTGTCCCCAGCTTTGTTGTCTATGTCCATTGTTCACACATACATGCATATAGTTTCTGTGATTTATCTCTCTCCCCCAACCCCTCTTCTGGGGATTGTCAGTCTGTACCCCACTTCCACGTCTCTGGGACTACCCCATTCCTCAGACTGTTATGTTCATTATATTCCACAAATAAGTGAGATCATATGATACTTGTCTTTCTCTGTTTGGCTTGTTTCGCTTAGGATAATACTTTCCATGGCCCCTCCATGTCATCTCAAAGGATAAGAGGTCTTTCTTTCTTCCAGCTGCATAGTACTCCATTGTGTATATGTACCACTGTTTTTTTATCCACTCATCTACTGATGGACACTTCGGCTGTTTCCAGATCTTAGCGATTGTAAATAGTGCTGCTATGAACATGGAGGTACATATATTCTTTCTGATTGGTGTTTCAACTTCTTAGGGTATATTCCTAGAAGTGGGGTCACTGGGTCAAATGGCAGTTCAATTTTTAATTTTTTGAGGTAACACCATATTGTTTTCCATAGTGGCTGCACCAGTGTGCGTTCTCACCAGCAGTGTACTAGAGTCCCCTTTTCTCCACACCCTCACGAACACTTGTTGTTTGATAATTTGTTGATGGCGGCCATTCTGACAGGTGTGAGGTGATACCTCATTGTTGTTTTAATTTGCATCTCTCTGATGATTAGTGATGTTGAGCATTTCTTCATATGTCCCTTAGCCGTTTGTATGTCCTGTTTGGAGAGGTGCCTATTTAGTTCCTCTGCCCATTTAATTGGGTTCTTTGTCTTCCTTTTGTTGAGCAGTATGAGCACTCTATATATTTTGGAAATTAACCCCTTATCTGATGTATCATTGGCAATTATACTCTCCCAAACAGTGGGTTGCCTTTCCATTTTGGTGGTTGTTTCTTTTGCTGTGCAGAAGCTTTTGAGTTTGATGTAGTCCCATGTGTTCATTTTTTCCTTTGTTTCTGTTGCCTTATGTGATGTATCAGTGAAAATTCTGCTGCGTATGATGTCTGAAATTTTGTTGCTTACATCTTCTTCTAGGATTTTTATGGATTCATGAGTCACATTTAAGTCTTTTATCCATTTTGAGTTTATTCTTGTGTATAGTGTAAGTTGATGGTCTAGTTTCATTTTTTTCATGGAGCTGTCCAATTTTCCCAACACCATTTATTAAAGAGGCTGTCTTTACTCCACTGTATGCTCTTGCCACCTTTGTCAAATATTAATTGAGCATATTGTCTTGGGTCCATTTCTGGGTTCTCTATTCTGTTCCATTGATCTATCTGCCTGTTCTTGTGCCAGTACCAGGCTTTTTTTTTTTTTTTTTATTATAGTGGCCTTGTAGTATAACCTGAAATCTGGTAATGTGATCCCTCCTACTTTGTTCTTCTTTTTCAAGATTGGTGTGGCTATTTGGGGTCTTTTTTTGGTTCCATATGAACTTTTGAAGTATTTGTTCTAGTTCTGTGAAGTATGCTGTTGGTACTATGCTCATTCTTGATCTACCACCTAATCTCCAACCCCCAGCACTTAGCAGGAACTCAATAAATATTTTCAAATAAAATAATGAATGCATTTTTATGTACTGTGTAATCCTTCATCAACATGAGATGTCTTTTAATGGTTTCTGTTGCAGAATGAACATGAAGAAACAGAATTCATCTTTGGTGGTAGAATTATCTTACCCAGACTTGGTCATCAATGTAGGAGAAATCACTCTTGGCGAAGGAAACAGAAATAAGCTGCAGAAACCTCAGAAAGAGCAAGAGAGGAAGAAAGTTTTGCAGGCTGCATGTGCTTTATTAAACTCTGGAGGGGGAGTGATTCGGATGGAAATAGCAAACAACAATGAGCATCCTGTGGAGATGGGTCTGGATTTAGAAGATTCTTTCAGAAAACTTATTCACTCTACAGATTTGCAGGCTTTCTTTGAGACTAAGCAACAAGAGAGGTGTTTTTACATTTTTGTTAAATGTTGGGTCGCTGGCCCTTTCACTGGAACCAGTTCCATCAAGCCCCGAATTTGCAGCCTGTTTTCTTCGTTATACCGTAGGTCTGGCACCTCTGTGTTTCCACTGGATTCAGGAGAGGCATTTAGTTTCCTAGAAACCAAGAAAAGAAATGCAAAATATTTGGGGGAAGGACCTTCTAATAAAATTCTCAGGGTTACAGAGCAAAATGTCAATCGCTCAAATCCTGCTCACCTAATTTTCCAAAGAGACCAGCTTGAGAAAGATGAAATCCTACCTTTTCCTGAGTCTCAAGATGTAGAATTTAAACAGTTCTCTACGAAACGCGCCCAAAAGTATGTAAAAAACATAATTCCACAGTACATATCTGCATTTGCAAACACTGGGGGAGGCTATCTTTTTATTGGAGTGGATGATAAAAGTAAGAAAGTTCTGGGATGTGATAAAGACAACATTGACTGTTCCTCTTTGAAAAAGAACATAGAAGATGCAATAAACAAATTACCTTGTGTCCATTTTTGCCAATCCCAAAGCCAGATAGCTTTCACAGTCAAATTCTTGGATGTGTTCGACCAGGGACAGTTGTGTGGCTATGTTTGTGTGATCAGAGTAATGCCATTCTGTTGTGCAGTATTCTCAGAATCTCCCAACTCATGGTTGGTGAAAGACCAGAAACTCTGCAGCCTAACAACTGAGGAATGGGTAGGCATGATGATGGACACAGAACCAGGTAAGAGGGAAAAAGCACCTCCCTCCCTGTCCTTTTCAGCCTCTAGCACCTTCACATAAAACAGTTTTCCTTTGTTTCCAGTGACTTTGAACTTAACATACCTACTCTGTGGTTTTTTAATCTCTAAGTATCCCACTTTCCATACATGATAAAATTTCATCAGGTAATTAGAAACCCAAATCAAGTGTCTTATAATAGGCAATTTTTTCACATTAGAAGAAGAAAAAATTGGGGGGAAATGTGTCTCTTCCTGGCTCCAGAGTCATTTGTTAAAATTTCAGGAATTTTGTGAGCCAGCTGCTAAACATGGTCATTATTAAAAATTAAGTTATATAAACTTACAGTTAAATTATATTAAAAACAAATGCAATAAATACAGACTCACCAGTTCCTACTTATTTACTACATTTTAATAATATCTTTGCTTGTGAGGTTATTTGCATATACGGTATCTGTATGGCGGAAATACTATAAAATGCTGTGCTACTGCGTTTCTTCCCAACTCTGCACTGAGTGACATCACATTGGTAGCTTGAAATTGTCCATGGTGGGAATATTTACACCACAGAAGTAAGCTACATGTACATAGATATTTACTAAAAGAATGTGATACATACCATAAAAAAATACAAGCAAAATGCTATCTAGACATAGAGCGTGAAGCATTATATTGAATGGGAAACACATTCAAATTTCCAAATAATGTCTCTTCACTATTGGATTTTGGCAACCTCCATATGCAATAAAGACACTTGTCTACACAGAGTGAATGGGGCATTACCTTGCCATTATCTCTTAGGTCACACTACCTAGACAGTCATATAATACACCTACTTGTAAGGCCTATTTCACTGGTGAGAGCATTAATTGATATGTCTGAATAACATGAGTTTTTTTTCTTTCTTAAGATCTTCTATGCTTGTCCGAAGACTTTGAATGTCAGCTAAGTCTGTCTAGCAGATCTCCTCTTAGCAGACCAGTGTACTCCAAGAAAGGCCTGGAACATAAAAAAGACCTTCAGCAACTTTTATTTCCAGGTAGCAACAGATTGGAAATCTTTTTATCCAGTTGAACTAGAGGCATACACTGTACCAACAGCAATTATGTTATGCCTACTTGACACCAGAGTTTCAATGCTCGGATAAAGGGAAATAAATGGTTATGCTTGTTATTTAAAATCCTGAAAGTCTACGCTGCAAACCTATGTGTACAAGGTGATAATGCTACCAGTGTATTGGTGATGAGTCATTTAGAAATGAACCTTCACTGACTCCACTGGCTGAGGCAGTACTACACATAGAGTCCAGGACTATTATTGCCCTTAATGACTATTTCATTTTGAAGTTCTCAGATTATACTAATCATCAATATTTCTGGTTATTCCTAAAAAATACAGATAACTGATTCCTCACTCCAGACTCAATAAATTAGAATATTTGGCCCTGGCTGTTTTGGCTCAGCAGTAGAGCATTGACCCATGGACCAATGAGTCACGGGTTTGATTCCTGCCAAGGGCACGTACCTCGGTTATGGTTCGTCCCCAGCTCTGGTGGGGGTTGTGCAGGAGTCCACCAGTCAATGTGTCCCTCTCACGTCAATGTTTGTCTCTCTCTCCCTTTCTCCCTCTATCTGCCTCCCACTCTACCTGCAGATACATAGAAAAAAAAATCCTCAGATGAGGATAAAAAAATAATAATAAAATAAAAATAAATTAGAATATTTGGGGATAATGTCTCATAATGTGCATTTTAATCAAGCTTACTCACATAATTTTGCTGTTCATACAGACTGGAAATCTTTTTATCTAGTTGAACTAGAGGCATAGACTGTACCAACAGCAAAAATATTGCCCACCTCTGCCATATTTTCCAGAGGAGTGGCTGTTATAAATATGAAAAAAAAGAATACAAGTTTATACCAAGGTGTAACACTGACCCTTTGGTGTGCAGGCCAACACTCTAACCACTGAGCACCACTGGCCAGGGCAATAATACATATTCTTGATTTTTAAAAAACTCAATAAAATAGGAGCCCATAGATACCTCTTTAATATTATATTTATATCTATATATCTGTATCCCCCAAAGACCATAATATTAATTGGAAGATATTAGAGGGAGTCTATTAAATTCAGGAACAAAACCATCATGTGCACTACAACTTCGGTGTAATATTTGTTGGCCAATGGAACTAGATAACAGAAAGAAATTAGAGGGATAAAATTGAAGAAGATAAGACTACATATCAAGAGAATCAATGAAAAACCACTATAAATAAGAATTCAGCATGAATAGAAATGACTGCACTAAATAGCATTATAAGAAACATAAGTGAACATTAATATGCATAATTCAGTATTTTAATATAACAACAAAAGAAAATACCCAATAGCAACAAAAAGTTAAAATATCTAGCATAAACCAATCTGCAAAAAATTAAAACCCATTGAAGGACACAGATAAATACTTGAATCAAATGGAAACACATATCATGTTCTTGAAGTCAGCATCATAAAGTTGTCAAGTCTCCGTTATTTTTTTAAATGTAATGAGATATCAATAAAAAATTCTAAAGTTCGCCCTGGCCAGTTTGGCTCAGCGGTTAGAGCGTCGGCCTGCGATCCAGAGAGACCGGGTTCGATTCCCGCTAAGGGCGCATACCTCGGTTGCAGTTTGTCCCCAGCCCTGGTTGGTCATGCAGGTGGCAGCCACTCGATGTGCACCTTTCACGTAGATGTTTCTCTCCCTCTCTCTTTCTCTCTCTCCTTCCCTCCCTCCCTCCCACTCTATCTGAACAAAAAAAGGAAAAATGTCCTTGGGTGAGGATAAAAAAATAAAATTCTAAAGTTCCAGTGAAAAAGTAAATAAGTAAGAGCCAGGAAATAGAAACCTGAAAAGACAGAGCAAAAAAAAGGGACTATCCAGACACCAAATCATTATAAAGCCTCTAATTAAAAAAAAAAAAAAAAAGTATTGGCATGTAATTAGACCAAGAATATAGAATAGAAGTTCTGGAAATAGATGCAAATACATATGAGAATTTAATTTAAGATGGGTTCACCTCTCAAGAAAGTAAAGAGAGATTGTAAAGACTGGGGTGGACCTCTTTCTTAATGGTGTCTTTTGTCTTAAGATTTGGTGCAATATGTCTAAAAATAACAACAACCACTTAACAGAAAAGTCAACAAGGACAGTTCAGAAAAAAAAAAAAAATTCAAATGGCTTTCAAATATTTGAAAGGGTGCTTATTAATCAAAATAAGAGACATGAAAATTAAAACAGTATATTATTTTTATCTTTGGAATGTAAAAAAATAAAGAAATCTAACATTGTGTTTCATACACTATGTTGTGGGAACACAAGCCTTCTCATACATTACCAGTGGGAGTGCATATTGGTACAACTGACAATATCTATCAGACCACAAATGCATTTACCCTTTTACCCAGTAATACCACTGCTGAGACTTTATTCTTCATATATACCTGCAGATATCCCAAATGTGCAAGGTTGCCTATTGTACTATTATTATAATGGCAAAAGATTGGGGGGGGGGGTGGAAATCCACGTGTCCATCAATAGAGACTGGTTAAATAAAATATGATGCATCCAAAAAATGGTATGTTAGATAACTATGAGAAAAAGGAAGCTCTTGTGTACTGATATAGAAAGATCTCCAACATATCTTGCTATGTGAGAAAAAGTAAGTGCCAAACAGTTTGCTACCTATTGTGTAAAAGGGTGGGGGAGGATATTTGCATCAGGAAATTTTGGAAGAATAGGCAAGAAACTAAAAAAATAATCTATGGTTGAGGAGCAGGATAGTGTTGGAAAGGCAGGAAATGGAGAAAATGGGAGTAGGAATGTTTTGCTATTTGGACTATGGGAATGTATTACCTAATTAAAATTAAAATTTAAAAGCCAATTTTCATTTTCAGAGAATGCTATTATGACTAGGTTCCGAACATGAACAATGCTAAACAAAAGTTTGCTTTTTGTTTTGCAGTTGCACTCCAGGTATTAAGAATAGAGATGTCCTCAGCACTTTAATCATTAGTGTTGCTTGATAATAATTTGCCTACAGTTTATTTTATTTTATTATTATTTCTTTTAATCCTCACCAAGGATATTTTTCCATCTATTTTCAGACAGAATTGGGAGGGAGGGGGAGAGAAAGACAGAGACATCAATGGGAAAGAGACACATCTACTGGTTGCCACCCACACAACCCCAACTGGGGCCGGGGACAAACTGCAATCGAGATACGTGCCCTTAGCGGGAACCAAACCCAGGACTCTCTGGTCTGCGGGCCGATGCTCAAACCGCTGAGCCAAACTGGCCAGGGCTTTATTGACTTTTTAGGGAGAGAGGAAAGAGAGAGAGATAGAAGCATTAATGTGAAAAAGAAACATTGATAGGCTGCCTCCTGCACACTCCCTACTGGGGATTGAGCCCACCACCTGGGCATCGAGCCTGACTGGGAATTGAACCAGGACCTCTCAGTCCATGGGACAACACTCAGTCCACTGAGCCTCACCAGTCAGGCCAGGAAATGTGCTATTTTTTAATGTGGTTTTTTGTTTGTTTCTTTTACAGATGAGGGAACAGAGTCTTAGAAAAACTAAGGAATTTCCAAAGGTCATAAACAGAATAAGCACATAGGTTTAGATGAAGTGTGCAGGTTTTCAAGACTTCTTTTCCTTTATTATAAAATAATATTTACAAAAGAACATATACCCCCAAATCTTTCATTTATCATAAGATTATGATTGCGTGTAAGTGTAATAATTACTTTTTATTAATTATAATTAATCATACAAATAAATATGATACTGACCTCACATTTATAACTCTCTCCATGCCTAGTACCATCAGAAGGTCTTCAATATACTCCTGAATCCCTCTGGGAGGAGCTGTCCTCAGAGCATGAAGGTCTGAAGGAATTAATAAATAAGCAAATGCATCCTTTCTCCCAAGGAATTTTGATCCTTTCTAGAAGCTGGGCTGTGGACCTGAACTTGCAAGAGAAGCAGGAAGTCATCTGTGATGTTCTGCTGGTAACACAGAACAGCCCGCCCGTTCTCTATACCATTCTCAGAGAGCACGATAAAGACGAGCAGCTGTACTGCACCTGTACTGCTTTGACTTTGAAGCTGAAGCTGGTGAACATGGGGGGCTACACCGGGAAGCTGTGTGTCATGACCAAGGTCCTCCATCTGAGTCCTGAGAGCAATGGAGAATCCTGTGAAGGTTCAGGCTCTCTAATCGATTACCCTGAGTCCTATTACCTTGCAGACACCCAGCAAATGGAAGCCTTCCTGCAGTCCCTTGTGATTGTCTTACTCAGCTTCAGGTCTTTCCTGAGTGACCAGCTTGGCTGTGAGATTTTAAATCTGCTCACAGCCCAACAGTATGAGATTGTCTCAAAAAACCTCCGCAAAGCCACAGAATGGTTTATCCATGGTCTACCTGGCTCAGGGAAGACAGTCGTAGCCATGAAGATCATGGAGAAACTCAAGAATATGTCTGGTTATAAGAAAAATGAAATTCTCTATGTTTGTGAGAACCAACCTCTGAGGGACTTTATCCGGTAAGCAGTTGGGTCTTGTCACCACATGAGGTTCAGTCTGAATTCATACCATACCTCCCTCTATTCAAATTACTTTGTTCTTTGAGAGTAGGATGGTAAAATTATCTGTAACAACAATCTTGTGTTCACAGGGGTATTATAGAGTAGATTTCCTCATTTATATACTTGGAGATAACCTGATTATATCATTTTAATTTTTACAGTTCTAAAAATATCTGCCATGCAGTGACCCGAAAAACCTTCATGAACACAAATGCAAACTTTGAATACATTCAACACATAATCATTGATGAAGCTCAGAATTTCCGCACTGAAAATGGGGACTGGTATGAGAAGGCAAAAACCATCACTCAGAGAGAAAAGGATAACCCTGGACTTCTCTGGATCTTTCTGGACTACTTTCAGACCAGTCACATACACGACAGTGGTCTCCCCCCTCTAACACGCCAGTTTCCAAGAGAAGAGCTCATCAAAGTGGTCCGCAATGCAGCACCAATAGTCCACTACCTAGAAAAAATAATGCACAAGGTCAGAGAAAATCCGCCACCTAACATTGCCCCCACGTCCCTGAGTATACTCAATAAAGCTGAAAAAGTTCATAGTGTTCCAGGCATTGTGAAGGTTAAGGAGTACTCAGACTTGGAGAAGATTTTGGTTTATATAGCAAAGAAATGCCAGATGTTCTTGAGGAATGGTTATTCCTACAAGGATATTGCTGTGCTTTGCAGTACAGCATCTGATATAGACACATATAACATTAAGCTTCAAACAGTAATGAGGAGGAGAAGAAATTCTCGGCTCAAGGAGGAATCTGATCCATTACTACAGATCAAAGATGCATCATATATAATGGACAATCACATCGTGTTGGACAGTGTCCGTCGATTTTCAGGCCTGGAAAGAAACATCGTGTTTGGGATCAATCTAAGGACAGCTGAGACAGCTATTTTCCACAATCTTCTGCTCTGTCTGGCTTCCAGGGCAAGAAACCATCTGTTTGTTCTGACACTTCAACACTGAAAGGTTGCTGGTTTGATTCCCGGTCAGGGCACATGCCCAGGTTGTGGGTTCAGTCCTGGTGGAGGCAACCAATCAATGTTTCTCTCTAGCACTGATGTTTCGTGTGCGCTCTCTCTCTCTCTCTCTCTCTCAAATAAATAAAAACATATTTTAAAAAAATCTGTTAAGGGAGATTCTTCAGCTGGCAAAATAAAAGGAGGTACTGCACAGAATTGTAGGAAGTTCCAGAGCAGGAAACAGAAGGAGTAACCTCAATCAGCATGTCACATGACTAACAAATATCTTGGATTATTGCTAGATAAGACAGACAGGGAAAAGAGCCCCAATCAAAAGAAAGTAGAGGTTGTGTGACCAGAAAGTGAGGCATGGGCCTCGATTCAACACAAAATTAGCTGGAATTGGGCTAAAGGGGATATAGAAAGGAAGAGCTTAGAACCCATTGGATTGACACTGGGAGGAAGTAGGTGTTAAGGAATATCCAAGGAATGGAGTTGCTATCGCTGATGGTGTCTCCATTTTGAAGATTGGGTGTTTGGGTGTTTCTCCAAGAAGGGAAATGGTGCTAAGTGTAATTGTCTCCAAACCTAGGGGAGCAAAATGTTGCAATTAACCTTTGATAAGAGATTTTTCTCGCCCTGGCCAGTTTGGCTCAGCGGTTAGAGCGTCGGCCTGCGGTCCGGAGAGACCCGGGTTCGGTTCCCGCTAAGGGCACGTACTTCAGTTGCAGTTTGTCCCCGGCCCTGGTTGGTTGTGCGGGTGGCAGCCACTCGATGTGTCCCTTCACGTTGATGTTTCTCTCTCTCTCCCTTCCCCTCTCTTCCTCCCACTCTATCTGTACAAAAAAATGGAAAAATATCCTTGGGTGAGGATAAAAAAATAAAATAAATAAAAAAAAAAAAAGAGATTTTTCTCAGTCCTGTTAAAGCCCAGGCCAAGGACCACTGACAACTCTAACAGGTTGCCTGGTGTTGGTTGCAGCTGGACTCGTGTAGACTCTCGTTCTCTTGATCAGTTTTCTGGTGCAGCAACTTACCCCAGGTAAAAGTTAAGTATCTGATATGGGCGATGATGAGAAGCGACAATTTATCAATTATGATGTGCACCATGCCCTATAAATATCATTTTGTATTGGTTATGATTGCATTGGATTTGGGGGATAATGAAGTGCTGTAATCATGGGGAATTGGCTTGCATTCAGTGTGGAGTCTCACGCTGTGAGATGTCACATCAAACTTGCAGAGTGTTGGAGAAGTGACATCCAGGAGAAATCAGTAGAATTACTCAACCTTGGAGGCAAGCAGAAATGGATATATCGCCTAGTTCTGCCACTCACCAGGGTTTAGTTGTGAGGAATGTGTTTAATTTCTCTGAGTCTCAGATGCTTCTACTGTAGATAGGGATAAAATGCCCCCCTTTGTAGAATTTCTATATGAGTTCATGGAAAATAAATGTTAATACCAAATGAAGCATAAAAACGTTCAATAAATATATTACCTAATTTACCTGTGTCAGTAAGGTAGGTAGAACTTTGTTTTTTTATTTTAATTTATTTGGGAATTATAATAAAAAGAGCAGTGATTCATATATCTAAATATAGAACATTTTAAGTTGCTAGCCCAATATTAGTTGGAATCATGTATAAAATGTAAGCTAAGATTACTCTTTAAGATAACACTCTTCGGAGGCGTCTCATCACATTCAAATAGAATACTAAACTCTTATTGTGGTTTATAAGGCTTCCATATTCTGTCTTATCACTATAGTTTCATCTTTAACCACTTTCCATTTTATTAAGGAACAAAATTGGCCTACTCAATTTTCCTGGAAAAGGTAATATTCCAGGAAACATTTCAGCCTCAGGACCTTTGCACTTGCTATTTTTCTTCTACCTGAATGAGCTTCCTCAACATCTCTGACTGGCTGATTTCTTTTCATAAGATAACTCTCAGTTGAAGTATCAATTTATTGTAATGGAAATACTGGTACAGCTTGTTCCTAAGCTTCTCTTGCTCATCCCCAGAGGCCTGCTATCTAACTAATTATTTAGTTAAAGCAGATCCCAGAACACTGGATCAGTTTAGTCTGTTTGAGGCTTCTCTTTGTGATGGGGACCTGTACATGCTTGTGACTCTTTCTGCAATCTCACTTATTCTCTCCTGTCCTCTCATTTGAGAGCTCAGGTTCAGCTGTGGTTTGAAAATGGATTGGGGCACATTAGCTAACAACTATCTCAATAGCCACTTCTAATGCTTTTAGGGTCCAAACCAAAGAAGAGAGGAAAGGAAAAACAAAAATGGGAGCAAGCAAGATGCTTAGGAAAAAATGACCATGAAAGGAATTATTCAGGACAGATGTGAATTTCAGAAAATTATCTGATTTGAGCTCTCAGAAGAAAAGGAAATGGACAGTGTGAAGCAAGAGATGAGGAAAGAGAAGACAGCAGATCAAGACAGAAAAGGGAGCCTTCAGTTTACACTGGTTGGCCTCAAATCTCAATTGTTGCTACTTCAGAGTTACATACACTTCTCCAATATTATCAGTATTCATTAATGTTTGCTTTAACCTATGGGCAATGCATGATGCTCAACAAAGAATGATATTTTCAGTGATGATTTTTAGCCTTTTATTATAAATACTCTAAATCCTGTTTCCTTCTCTACCAAGCTGAGATCTATAACTCAGATTCTGTAACATTTTCTCATTGCCAAAGACTAAGATGAGTATGGTTCTTTGTGTTCCCCCACTAATTCTTTCCGATCTAGTTGTTCAAAAAGTGGTTCACAATCAAGGTCCCCTAATATTAAAGGCACCAACTAGGAATATTAAGGACTGGGACTTACAGAGAGTCAGCATTATGAGAAACATGAAACAGTCATTTAAAAGTATGATAGTTTGGCCCTGGTTGGTTTGGCTCAGCAGTTAGAGCATCAACCCATGGACTGAAGAGTCATGGCTTCCATTCCAGTCAAGGGTATGTATCTCGGTTTCAGTTCATCACTGGCCCTGGTCAGGAGGCAACCAGTTGATGTGTCTCTCTCACATCAATGTTTCTCTCTCTCTCTCCCTCCCTCCCACTCTATGTGAAAATAAATGGAAAAATATCCTTGGGTGAGAATTTATTTTTTTTTTTTATTTTTTTTTTTATCCTCACCCGAGGACATTTTTCCATTTTTTGTTCAGGTAGAGTGGGAGGGAGAGAGAGGAACAGAGAGAGAGAAACATCGATGTGAAAGGAACACATCGAGTGGCTGCCACCCGCACGACCAACCAGGGCCGGGGACAAACTGCAACCGAGGTACGTGCCCTTAGCGGGAACCGAACCCGGGTCTCTCCAGACCGCAGGCTGACGCTCTAACCGCTGAGCCAAACCGGCCAGGGCTCCTTGGGTGAGAATTTAAAAAATAATAAAGTATAATAGTTTGCTTATGGTGTCAGAATATAAGACAGATTTTCAAGTCTATTACTGATCTCTTTTTCTCTCACAATGGATTGGGAAATATTTACATATAAAGTATTCTAGGTGCGCCCTCCCTTCTGGGAGCACACCCGCCTTTCTTCCCCTATAGGCCCTCATCTCCTAAACTCTACAGGACCCCACAAGACTTGCAACCAGTAGAGCAATGGGCAGCAGCTAGTCCTGAGCTAACCCACTGAGCCTGTGTCCAAGGTCCCCTTTCCTCTGACTTCTCAGTGAGCTCAAGCAGCCCTGCCTCGGCTCTCCTGTTGCTTCTTTCACCCTAAGCTCTTCCTTGTTTCACTGTCCCCAGCTTTAATAAATGTACTCTCAAAATAAATTTTTTTAAATCCTTACCTGAGGATATTTTTCCATTGATTTTCAGATAGAGTGAGAGGGTGGGAGGGAGAGAGAGAGAGAAACATCAATGTGAGAGAGACACATCAATTGGTTGCCTCCTGTACAACCCCGACCAGGGCCAGGGATCAGACCGCAGCCAAGGTACATGCCCTCGACCAGAATCAAACCTGAAACTCTTTGGTTTGTGGGCCGATGCTTCAAGTGCTGAGCCAAACCAGCCAGGGAAGCCATCCAAGTGGGTAAGAATAATTCAGTTAGAATTTTTCATGAATTGCTAAGGGCTGAGTATGGACCAGTATGACACTATAGAACCCCTGGAAGCTACAGACATAGGGAGAGTCTGTACTCCCAAGCAGCCTCTTTTCCATAGGTGTAGATGATCATGTAGGAAAATTCCTAATGGGCATGAGGAAACATTGGGGGTGATAGATATGTTCATTATCTTGATTTTGGTGATGGTGTTAGGTGTGGATAACTACATCAAGCATATCAAATTGTACACTTTAAATGTGTGTTTATTATATGCCAGTTAAACCTCAATAGAGCTGTTTTATTTTTCCTTTTCTTTAAAAAAATTTTTAATATTTATTTATTTTTAATTTTATTTTTCAATTACAGTTTTCATTCAATATTATTTTGTATTAGTTTCAGGTCAATAAAGCTGTTTTTATTTATTTTAATTTTTATTAAGAAATCAATGAATTTATGGTAATGATCACAACCACCCCCCCACCCCCAGTCAGGCTAAGTACACAAGGTTCTGGGTTTCTTCCAGGGCCTTCCACAGAGCTGAGGAATGTTTTTGCACTTCACTTACACGGCTGAGCTGGCCAGCTGCCATGACCGGCAGCTTTGTTTATTTGGTTTTCACTTTTCATCATGAAATACAGTCCTGTCTTGATTCTCCTGCCTTTGGGGCTCTCTGAATGTTTCTAATTAGAATCCTTTCAGCTCATTTGCAAAAAGACTCCCTCCCCTGGGACTGGTGGGTGCCTGGAAGCACTTCCGGAGTGGGGGTCTGGGAGTCTTTGCGAACTGCTGCTCTGCTTGGTTAGGTCATAAGTCAATCGAGTTTCTGAGTTAGAACTTTCCTGCACTGTAAGTTTTATTTATGAATAACACTACTTTGTATTTTTTAGCTCAATACGGTGTGCTTGTAAACCTAGCAGACTGCCTCATCTGGGGAATTCCTGCACGGGCTCTGTCGACAGGACGCAGTC